TTGGTACTTTTCCTAAAGGGTATTATGAAAAATATTTAAACTCTATTTCAAATTTTATTTCTGTATTTGCTCGATTAAATCCAGATGAAATTACGAATTATTTATATAATTTTAAAGAAACAATAACAAAAATAGTTGACTCTTTGTTTCAGAATTTTAATCCAATTGAGTTTGTAAGTTTATATAGAATTTTTGATTCAGTATTACAAATTATTGATAGCATTACTGAGTTACAAATAATTATTAAAGGCCTTACACATGTAATGATTGAAATAGTTCAAAGGTTGATTCATTATTCATCTGCTCAAATTATTAATTGTTTTATTGATAAAGTTATAGAATACTCAACTTATAATGAGTCTATTGGGAATGACCTATTTATTTATGTTGATGAAATGATGAAATATATTGCTGATCATGATGTAATATTGATAAAAAACAATCTTGAAAGAATTATGGGCTTTTATTATTTTTATATGAGTCATGGAATTAAAAATCATTATTATACTCATCTTAATGAATTATCTCTTCTTTCGTTTATATCACAAAAACAACACATTATTAATACTCAAAATAGTTATCAAAAAGTCAATGAAGTTGGTTGTAAAGCAATCAATTTAGAATGTCTTTCAAAAATTACTTTATGGTTAGAGAAAGATAGAGTTATTAGTTCATTTGTTAATACAAACAATAAATTAATTATTCTTACTAGAGGATGGAATGGAACAGAAACTTATTCAATTAAACTATTAAATAAACAGGCTCAAAGAACTCAATGCTCCATTCAACAAAAATGTATTACTTTAAATGAAAAATATTCTGAAGAACTTAATGGAATTATTGAATTTAATAAAGCAATTAATGGAAGTCAAAAAATTAATAATGAAGAACAAATTAACTTGCTTCTTAAAACTGAAAGAAAATATAATAAAAAATGTCAGACAGAATACCAAGGAAATTTAATTAATAATCCAATGAGTATTTTATGGAAAGGAACTATTTTTAATGACAATGATAAAAGGGCTGTTTGTACATTAAAAGATTTAAATATCCTTCAACAACTTCAAAGTATTAAAAGTTCTCTTATTCGAAATCGAATTTATTGTAGAGTTGTTGAAAAAGAATTTAATCAATACATTCAAATTAATGAAAATTTAAGAATTGAAGAACCAGTATTACAAGTTATTATGAAAAAAAGCAAGAATAACCAATGGATTGGAAAAAGAAGAAGAAATGTTTGTGAATTTTTATATTCAATTGAAACTCAAGAATCTACTCAACAAATTAAAAATGATGTTGTTATTTTTGTTGATGATGATATTCCAGAACAAACCCAAATTGAAGAGTATGTTGTTGGAATTAAAGTAGTTGATTGGAATATGAGAGAAATTAAAATTAAATGTATTGATAAAATTGAATTTATTGGTTATAGAAATAAAAAAGAAATTATTGACACTATTGAAGGAGAAATTATGAGACTTATTCAAAGAGATTCTCCTAATAAAATGCTTCAAGAGTACTCAGACGATATTATTCAAAGAATGAATATTACACCGTCAAACCCTGATCAATGGATATTTAATGATATTATTGGTACTTATCTTTCAAGAGAATCATTAAACAATTTTATAGTATTATGGAACAATAAAAATTATGTTAGTTTCAAAGATTCACACCAAAACACAATAACCAAAGAAGAAGAAAAAAAAGAAAAGTTTGACAAATAGTGGTGATAATAAAAGAGAAAATAATAATTTTTAAACTGACATAAATCTTAAAAGATATGCAACTATCATAGGAAACATACCTTAATAGAAACTAGATAACTTATTAAAACAATAAATTTAAATAGGATGATAACTTAATTAATTTAACGTTAACGTAAAGGCATTACTTCACTTTTACTAGAATTAATTTTAAATCACTAACATAAAAATAGTCTTCTCTATGTCCTTATTATTACTTCTTAAATTTGATTTTAGTAGTGAAGTCCAAAATTAAGTAAAAATAATACTCAAAACAAAATGAATAATTTAAATTTATTCAATAAAAGGAGAGTAAAAATTACAGAACATTATATTAAATAACAAGTTTATTATTGCAAAGAATGATTTACAAAAAAAAACTATTTAATTTTAGTGAATTAATAAGAAATTCTCATTGATGCATTAACACTGTTGGCATAAAGGAATATCAAAAAAAGAATAAATAGTTTATAACAATGCTATTGTCTAAAACTTTTGTTTCTTTATATGAGTGAGCTGTTATTTGTATTATTAGTTAGTGTGTTTGTTATTAGTTTGACAATATAAATCAATACCTTAATTTATTTTATATCTTTTTATTACTTTTGTTTTCTTGAATTAAATTAGTTGAATGTTTTATATAAAAATATTTATTTTGTGCTTAATAAATATAACAAAAATAAGAAATCTCTTATTTTTAGATTTATTTGTTTCAATAAATAAAAAAAGTCCTACTTAATAAACAAACTTATTATAAATTAGGGAATTAAATTATAAGATAAGTTTAAAGTTTAAATTAAATATTGTTTTAATAAAAAAAAAGAATATAAAAAATTCTTTAAATAATTAATTGAAAATTTGATTATGCTGTTTCAATCATTTGTTTTAAAGCATTTCTATCTGCTCCACTAAAACGTTTTTGTTCTATTCCGTCTTTAACAAGAACAAATGTTGGCATTGATCTAACCTTATAATTAACACAAATTTCTTCAGCTTGATCTACATCAACTTTAACGAATTTAATGTTATTGTGTTGCCCAGCAAGTTCTTCAAAATATGGGCCAATAGATCTGCAAGGACCACACCATGTAGCAAAGAAATCAATAACGATAACTTTTTCAGTAGAAAGAAGAGCAGTAAGTTGATCAAGGGCATTGATATGAAGTACAGCCATAACAATAACTAATTAAATGGATTTAAAGATTGAAATTTATTATTAAATACAGTTTAATGAAGTATTTTACGTGTTCACAAATACTTTTGGTCCATTTGTTAACTTCTCTAGTTTTCTTTTTTTTTGTCTAGACCTTCTTTTTATTTCTCACTTTTTTATTCTCTTTTTTATCTTTTCTATAAATAATTCTATGATTTAACTTTTTTTTGTTTTTTAACCTTTTCTGAACTTTGTTTATTATTGTAAAATATGAGATAAATAACAATATTTAAAAATAAAAATTGTTATTATCTAAAACATAAATAAAATTTTTTTCGTTGCGTCATCAGTCAAACTTGAAATTAATGGAAGAAAAAGAATAAACAGAATATTCTTTTTCTTCTTAACTACATGACGCCATGAAATTCAAACAAAAAGGAAAGAACTATATGGCTACACTTAGAAATTGTAATGGACAGTGCATATAATCCATTCAACATACACCAGGGAGAAGAGGATTCTGGGAGTTGTGTTGTAGTATGTAATGGTAAACCTATTAAAACCAATTTACACAGTCTTTTAGAAATAAATATTCTAAGGACTATGCACAAAGATGAATTTAATGAGTACCAACGAAGAGTTAAACAATTTAGACAATTAACTGAAGATGAAGTGGATATCTTAAAAGGTGTAGATAGAAAAATCAAGGCTCAAGAAAGTTTACGTAAATGTCGTATTAAAAAGAAAGAAGAAATTATCACTATGGAAAAAGAAATTGCTTTGATGAAACTTAAAACTAGTGAATTACAAAAAGAAAATGGACAAATTGCAGATATTCTTAGTGAATGTGAAAATTGTAGAAATAATATTATTTTGAAATGAATATATAATCGATCATTGTTTTTAATAAATTTTCTTATATTTTGTTAATTTTTATTTTAAAATGTTAAAAAAAAAAGGAGTAGAAAAAAAGTAAATTTATAATATTGAGGTTGATTGTAAAGAAAAATTAAATTTTCTTTTTTTTTTCTTTTTCAAAAAAACCTTTAAAAAATACTTTAAAATATCATTTGTCATATCTTTTTTTTCTCTTTGGTAATTCAAATTGTGTAGTTTTTAGTTTTTTTGTAAAGAATTCATGTGACAAACACTCTTCTACAGAATATCTTTTTGATGGGTCTATTACTATCATGTGTTCAATCAGGTCTTTTAATTCAGTTGGTAGACATGAAAATAATTCATCTGTATTGAAAGTTCCATTAAACAATTTCTTCTGTTCAAAATGTCCATTAAATTCAAATGGATTTCTTCCAACTGCTAATGTATACATCAATACACCACAACTCCAAACATCAACTTTAAATGCATCATATTGAAGTTCTTGCGATGAAAAACTCTTTTTTTCTTTAGACTGTTCATTACTTATTAATGTCTTTCTATATTCATTCCATCCTCGGAGTAATTCTGGTGAAAAATATGTTGGTGTCCCACATAATGTCTTTGCCATTTCACCTTCTCCTACAATTCTTGCAGTTCCAAAATCAGTTATTTTAATTTCTGATTTAATTCCACTAAACAATACATTTTCTGGTTTAATGTCTCTATGTACAATCTTATTAGAATGAAGATATTGTAAGCCATTGAGTAGTTGTAAAGAAATTTTTTTTAATACTTGAATATCTATTTTTCCACACCTTTTTAGTATTGATTGAAGTGATCCACCTGGTAAATATTCCATAACAATAATAATATATTCTCCAATTTGATAACTTTCATATGTAGTAACAATGTTCTGGTGATGAAGAGATTGTACAATTTCATTCTCTTTATATTTCTTATTTGGTTTATTTTTCATTATTTTTATAGCTCTAACTTCCTTTGTTGTCATATCAAATGCTTTACGTACTTGTCCAAATGACCCTCTCCCAATTAATTCTTGTATTATATATCTTTTAAAAAAATTACTGAAATGTTCTGATAACTGATTTATAACTCCCATTTCAAAATAAAGATATTGTGCACTCTCTTTTAATTCAGGACTAAGCACAGATATTTCATCGAACATATTAATAACTGTTTCAACACCTTTTTCTAGTAAAACTCCATTTAACCATGTCCCATTTCTTGAAGTATCAATGATAGTGGTAATTCGAGTGTTATTAACTTTTTTAGTAAGGATGGTAAAATGATGTGAACTAATCTTCTCAGACTTTAGTCCAAGTGATTTATTTCTCCCAACATTTGTTTTATCAAGAAATAATGACAAAGAAGGTTGTTGAAGTTTTGTGCTTTTTAACTTCCCCCATGACTCGTCTGTAGTTGACATTACAAGTATCTACAATTGAGTTTTTGTATTTGAAATTAAAAATTGAAAATCTTAAATTAAAAATTTATTACTCATTTCTGTGAAGAATCTTTTTCATTGTTGCAAACACAACTAATCCAACAAATATTAATCCTGATACTATTACTACTATTAATGCTGAAACTAATTGACCTGCTTTTAATTTATCTTCTTCTAATTTTAATACACATTCTTCTTCTTCTAATTGATAATTTTCATATGAATTACAAATACATTCTTCTCCATTAAATATTTCTCCTTCTGAACAAATAGTAGTGTTGATGTAATATCTGTTATGTTTTCTATCACATCCTACTTCAGATATTATGTTGTATTTTGTGTATGTTTCACATTCTTTATCTTTATTAATTTTATGTGCAAATCCAACATATGTGTTAGTGTTATTTATAAGAAGTGTTGATAGAACTGTTCCTTCAGTTTCATTTGCAACACAATAATTCTTAAATACAGTTACTGTATATCCTGTTATTCTTTCTAATTTAAAATCAGCAGTACATTCAGATGATGGGATATGAATGTATTGAAGGGAGTTGTTAAATGAATCAGTGATTTGATTTAAATCAATTGTTTTGTGTTTGTTTTCTATTTGGATAGTGCATAATTTATCGGCATAAGTGGCAATGGATAATACTAATGCTGGTTCATTAAACAAATATTCATAATAATTTCCATCATAGTAAGTGCATTTGTTGATCGGGAAATAAGTGAACGAATGGAAATCATCAACAACATAATATTTGTCAGCAAACACACAAAGAAACAATAATAGGGATAATATCATCTGTTGATTTGATGAATAATAATTTATATTATTTCTTTTTATTCTTTTTATTCTATTTCCCTTTCTTCTTTTTTATTTAATTTTTATTATCCATTTCTTGTTTTATATATCGAAATTCTATGTGTATTCTAAAAAAATTAATTATTGAATAAAACAATTATTTTATATAAAACATGGAAAATTTTTTCATTATGGACGTTTTTTATAAGCAAGGAATGTTAACTGGCGGAAAGACTGAATCACATAAACTCCAGGAGATAACTTTAAAAGACACCCATCAATTTCAAAGTCAATTTCTTCAAAAACAACAATTTTAACAACTCTTGAAGTTCCAATATGCTTTGGCATTAAACAACCAGTCTCACAAACAATAAAATGATTAGCAGAAATGAAACCAATAATTTCTATTAATCTATCATTTGGTGTTGCATCTAGTTGATCAACAAACCTAGTGTTTTGATAGAACGGTATATTCATAAACATAACTCCACACAATCCTTTTAAGCTAAGTTGTTTATCACCGAGGAACACATGAACGTGTTTCTCTAACATAATTTTAATTAATTTATTTTCTTTTGTTCTTAATTGGTATGCATCAATTCCTATACCACAATAACAACAAAATTCTTTGTTAAGATGACTGACATTCCATATATCACAATTAATTTCTACTGAATGGGTTATGTTTTGTATTACATCTTTAAATGGGATATTCCAACCAAAGGTTTGTGCTAAATCACCATTGGTAACAACAATCTTATTTTCGTTTGTAAACAAAGACAATTTAGAATTAAAACTTTGGAGGTTTTGACAATAAACAATGAGTTGGGATCTGTAATCTTTTATAGAATAAACTAATTGTCGTGGATTTAAGTGCAATAATGACCAATAAAATTCGTTTGATTTAGTTACACAATCTACAACAAGAAGATTTGATTCTAAGTGAGGTTTAGTTAATATAGAAGCAAGTTTACCATAAGAACAATGTGATGGTAATAGAGATAAGCATTTGGCATGAACATTTACCGAACACCAACAACAATGAAATCCAGCTTTTCTTTCTATTGACTCTCTACATACAAAACAGAGTTTATCTGCGCCATGAAGCATATGGTGTTGAAGAGGATCAGATGTACGACATAATTTACAATCTCTTAATGGCTTACAATCAATATGAAATACTGAGTCACAACATAAACACCTATAACACTTTCCTTCAATTTCACTATTACAAGATTGACAAATAAAAGGACGTGTTGTTGATTCTATAATTAAATGAGGTTGGTGAGGTGTATATGAAGCAGCAAGATACTCTTCTAAGCTTAACGTATAACCACTCAGATAGGACAGCTTGGTTAGACAATAGGAATATGCATACTCTGAGCAATTGTAATGCACTATTATACCACATTTCTGACATAGTACTGTCTCATCTTTTTCACAATATTTACCACAAACATTACAATATCCTTTCTCATTCTCTGCAATCAGAAAGGAGTGTGTTGGTAATGGAATATTGATTCTTTGAAATTCGTATAGATAGATTCCTTTATTAATTGGTATCATCTTTAATCAATTTTTAAGTTCTTTGTAGAAGACTCTCAGTTATTTTACTCATTATTATTTTCATCAAAAAGAGCATTGTTTTTCTTTATTTTTCTATCCCCTTTTAAAAAGGGTCTTTTTAAATGTTAGTTTTTTCTGAACAATAATGGTTTAATCAGAGTTGAAAATAGGTAAAACTATTATTAATTTTGTTTTATTAAAAAAATTCATTATATGGACTTGACAATGTAAGTAACTCATCACAGAAGTTAGAATTGTTTTCAATTCATTCTAATATGTGTTTTTCTACAAAAAGTTAAAGGGATATTTTTATCAAAGTAAATTCAACTAACAATAAAGAAAAATAATTTTGTTTTTATATTATGTTTATTTATTAAATAAATCTTTTAAGTCTTCAGTGATTTAGAAAAGAAAACCAAAGATTTAAAGTATAAAAGAAATAAATTGAATGATACAAAAGAATGAATAATTCAATAGCTCTTCAGAATTATAATTTTATTTATTAACTTAAAAATAGTTTGTTTTAGAATGTCTTATTTTTAGATAAATCACATATTTAAAGTGTCTATTCTAAAAAGAAACAATCCATCAATTAAACAATTACAATATGTCTCTTCTTCCATCAATAGAGATATCTCTTACATTCCCTTTTCCTAATTGAAATTCCAATCCATAAGTTGGTTGAATTCTTATTGGTTCTTGAGGTAAATCTACCTTTTTAAATTTAGGTGGGTTGATGTTTATTGGGGAGAAATAAAATAATGGAAGATTAGCAGTCATTCTTTCTGTGATTTGAAGTAATCTATTGACATTAGAGCTAAAGACTGAAATATAATCACCGAAGTCTCCTTGTTTTCTCATGACTGTTGCTGTTATCGCTTCTAAACATCGTTCATTTTCACCAATCAAATGGTCACATGTTTGGTCATCTAAACTATAACCTCTGTCACGTGTTTGATACATTATTGGAGCTGTCCTTCCTATTGAAGATGGTAAATAAGAGTTTTGTGGAAAGGCATTTGGTCGAGGATAAGAAGGGTTAGGGGGTTGAGATATAACAGCAGATTGAGGAACTGTGACACGAGGTTGTGGAGCGACTTGAATTTGTGGGTGTTGAATTGTGATTGGTTGAGCCATAGTAGTAACTAAAGGAGGAGGGGCATTAGAAGATATTGACATTGAATTAGCATCTCTAACATTTATAGTAGAAGAATTAACAGAAGAAACTTGATTTGAATTACTTGACATAGACAAATCATCATCTTCTTTTTTTATTCTAATTGGAGTACGTCTAGAACGTTTAGGTTGGTCATCACGATCAGTAGGAGTAGCACGAGGAGATTTAATAGAATGAGAAGGAGATACTTCAACCCTTTGTTGACCGAAAGAAGAATGAAGAAAACTCTCCCAACTAATATCTTGTTTTTCTTTTGCTTTCATATATTTTACACGTAATGAAACATCTCTTAATCGTTTATTAGGTAAATTTGTCATTAATAATGTGAGTCGTTTAAATTCAGCATTTTGTGAAGCAGGATATCGTTTCATATTATCTTCTAATATCATTTGTTCTTCCAGGTGACCATGAAGGAATTGATTTAATATATTCTGCAATATTTGGTGTAGGTGAATCGTCTTGAGATGGTGAT